CAAACTGGAAAAAGAAATGTTTAAATCCCTTGAATTGCTGAGGAGTTATTCATGGTTTTTTTTTGTCGATCGGACTTTTGGAATACGCTAAAATATAGTTCCGATTGCATATTTAAAACTATAATGAGAAAGTTTAAGGTATCTGCCATCTTTTCTTTCTCTTTCTACAGTAATCGCAAGAAATTTCGCTACCAAGTAAAAAGTACATAAACTTCAATCCTTTTATCTGATATTTTGATTACAAATAGAGGTTGGTAAGCTCTGATCGCAAACAGCAACCCGAGGTCGATAGGCATTGATGCAAAGGATTTATCATGGAAATACTGATTTTTCTCTAAAGTACAGAAAGACTTTTATTAACATTTTTTTATGGTTTTCCACTATTTAAATGGGTTAACCTGCATTTCGTTATTAACTAATAAAGGTCAGCATGTCTATATTGTGTCACAAATAGAATATTCCAGTTCGCTGTAATCTTGAGGCGTAAAGAAGCCTCTATTGTCTGAAATGATCTCAGCAAGAATCTCTTCTCCATTGATAACTGCGATCGTGAAATTTAGAAGAAAAATTTTTTTAGAGCATGACACTCACTGGAGAAAATTGCAAGGTAAGCGATTAAAATTAGCCAGAGATATAGATCACTTTTCAATGATTTCCATCAACTCTCACGTAGATATTATCTAAAAAATACTTCATAAATCAAGCAAACTAAAACTATTTGATATAGTATTTGGTGTTAGAGGCAGCATTGAGACTGTCAACTGAAGCGTCTAACATCATGAGATTTGTTTTCTATGTTAAGATGTTCTTGTCTGAAAAAAAATCTATGTTGATCTTCTAGCTCCTCCGTATGAAGACCGATCAGGTCGTAGTTAGTTCTTATGATTAGAGTTCAACATGCTCTATTTGTGATCAAATGATGAGACTCAAAGATTAAAGTTTAGATACTTTTTACGATCACTATACTATAATTAATATTAATAGTACCTATTAATGAATAAAATGTTACAAAAGTCTTTTTATTTTGAATTAAAGTAACTTTATCATACTTGACATTTTTATTTCAAAGATGTTTCATTGATAATTTTCGTTTTTTTTTTGGTATATTTAAAAGATTCACGGTGATGAACATCAAGCACGTATGATTAGTGCACTTTTTGGTAAAGCATTTTGTCAAGATGGTATAGGTATTGGCGGTGGTGAAATTGAAGGACAAAATCATTCTGTATTAATTTTTAATAAAGATTGGAATAATGAAGATGAACGATTAGATTTTGTTTCAATGATTCTTCAACATTATCCATCACTTTCAGCTCAACTTGATATCAATGGACAACTTGCATTTCATGATTACTCTATGCAATCATCATATTCATTTAATGATATTATAGAATTAATTAATAATAAATATAATCATGAAAAATATTTTATTGAAGAACAACAAATGAAAAGTGAACTTGTTGATCAAACTGAATA